TTTGTGAGGTTTAAGCGATCTTTTCGGTTCTTGCTTAGGGTACCCCTTTTATGGTATCCGACAGCAGTCAACCACAATACCATCTTTGCACGCCATATCATGAAATTCTTGCCATCAAAATTATTTGGCTTTAAAGCAGCAGCAAAACCACTGATAGAAAATTGCCTAACATTAGGTTTTTAGATTGTTAGAAATTTAGACATTTTCATTATTAGTTTAATACAGAAATATAACATCAGCAGGTTTGTGACAACATATATGTGCATGTGTATATTTCTTATGAACGCTACAGCATGCATAGATGATATGCTGATTGTTACAGTAAGAATACAAAATATAGTAATCACAGAGATTAGACTGTACCCAGCGGAGGGTCCCATGCCGAGGGCAGCGGAGGCTCCATTCGCACTAGTCGACATAGTGCGTTGCTCGAAGTCGCGGACCACAGTCGATGCAAGAAGATGTTCGTAGTGCAGTCCTACGAACGGATCACCAGAAAGAAGACGCCTTGACGTCCTAGGGAGAAGACAGATCCGATCTCCAGCAGGAAGAAGATGGACGAGCAGTCACGGATCGCTCTCCAAAAACCTAATCGCCGCGCACCCCGTGTAAGGTTCTCCAGCGGACGAGGGTTCCGGAGGCACCTGCTCTCCCGCTACTCCGTGCGCGTAGAGGAACGGGACAGGGAAGACTGAGGGCTGCGGAGCCTCATATCTCTCGAAACGGTTGCGGAAGACAGGGTCTGGACTGACGGAGGACAGGATATATGGCTGCGACTGCGACAGGAGAAGGAGACGGAGGATAGGATATATGGCTGCGACAGGGGAAGGAGACGAAGGCAACGAAGAATCCCAGGAGACGGTAACTGACGCAGTCAATTCGCCTCCACCATCAAGGAGCGAAAGTCCCGTGATAATATGGATTTAAGTGGCAAAAGACTGGCCACGCCCGCCCGCTCGCTCGCCTCGCCACGGCCCCGCCCACGCCCACGGCTTGGCCGGCGGCGGCGCGTACGCGCGTGGTGGCACGCCTTTATCATTTTCTCAGCTTCTCTATTTAGATGAATAATTTCCAACCATATAAGTTAAGTCAGCGTTCAGTCAAAATCTCATATGGTATTAAACCATACAACACTTAATGTTACGTAATATAGAGTTTTATTTAATTTATTAAATATTATATGGCCAAGCCCATATTATATCCAACATTTCACATTTAATTCATCTCCGCTTGAGCGTGCGTATGTGTTAATGTGTGTGCGTGTTAATTTGACAGATCATATATACAACATGTTAAAACTATTATTTCTGAAAGTTAGGAGCCTGCAGTAACAACGCCGATTTCCGTATGTTCTCTACCAGTACCAGATGATGAGCTAGGTGACATGACAAACTATATGGACTGTATAGGGTGGGAGTAATAATTAATGCACTACGGGCCTCTTTGATGGAAGCCTGAAGTCCTTGCCCGCAAAAAAAAAGTGTTGCATGAAAGTTCACTGGAAATTCGATGAAATCTGCCTAGTCAGACAAGTTAAAAAATGTTGCGTTTAGTTAGAAGCCTGTATATGAAATACTAATAAAAGATATAATACCATTTTAAAACATACACGGTTACTGTTAGAATGTATATACAATAAATAAATAAAACCATCCACATATTTTATCAATTAACAATATATTTGAAATTACAAATAAATTTAATAGTTTTTCTAGCTATTTAAAAAATGTCACAAGGAAAGACGTACGAGGAACAAAGATAATTATAATTATACTATATACACGATGTTAGTGTAGATTTATTGGTAGAGAACTGAAAAGAAGAACATAATATGTTTCTAAAAAACACAATCTGACTTCTGATAAGTTCAGGTTTATTGGTATACGTTTTCTTTTTTTCATGGAATTTCGTGTACACAATACCAGCTAATACAAAGAATAGCAGTAAATAAGGCAACAAATGATTAGACGGGTGATTAGTCCAGGCAAGCCAGCAGGTGCACCCTAGGCGACCGTTTTCGTACGCCTGAGCCTGGGGGCTGATGCCTGGGACAGGCAGCTCACCAGGACTGCATCCAAATACCGCACAGGCAGCATCCAGTCATGCTACAGTCCAGTCATCTTCTACCCAGGTTTCAATCCAAACACGCCCCGCTTGAAGAGGAGTAGGCCGGTGTACACTGTTGCTGCTTGATGTCGAGTAGGTGTGCGTTCCTTTCCCAATTCGAACAGAGCGGGTGTATATGCTTTGCCCTTGCCCATGCGGGTCACGTAATAATTAATGAAAAGTAATTCTATGCTAGGTCTACGGGAGGTCTATCTATATGTTATTGATTGCTAGAATAAAGAGTATAAGTACTACTAGTGGTCCTTTTATTTATTATCATAAAAAAAACAAGCAAGGTATGTAAAGAAGATCGAGGAGAGAAACACATCCAAGATGCAAGAAGCAAATGTGATCCGAGGTAGAGGTTTGTGCTATTTTGACATAACGAATATATGGTTTAGTTATGCGATGCACGTATTAGACTTGTCATATTTTCGTTGAATTCATTTGTGCTATATATCCCGATCTTTTAAACTTTCGCGGATTACTTTTATGATTACGGCGTACATACATTATTGTCAATAAATGATGAACAGTTGACCGATGCTTCTGCAAGTTGTTGCAACGGATCCCTTCGTAACGACAAGACATATTTATTATAGCAGGGGTCTTCTAACATCAGAATCAGATCGAGCTCGGGAATACTCTCGGGCAAACCCCCTCTCTGCAGTGTGCTACACGATGTACAACTGGGGCTGCCCTGCTACTTTGTTGTTATATATAAAAGTGTCACATGCATGCAAGATACCTTATGTCGTGTAGTTAACTCTTCAAATGTTGATTGAGATTTTGATGATTCCAAATAGACAAAATCCAACTACTTCCAACTATCTTATCTTATCTTATCATCAAGAGAGCTATAAGTTTTATACGAAGACGTGCCAAGAGTGTGTTTGGTTTGAGGAATAGATTAGTCCATATCTACTTATTATTCTTCACATTTTTTGTTTGGTTTATGAAATAAAATAGATTGATGCATCAACACCTCGTTCCTCCCGAGCTAGTAAAGTTAAATGCTTGGCTTGAAGACAAGTTAGCAACAAAGGCTTACTTACTTGTCTACTCCGTATATAGCAGTTTTAATTTTTTTTATTGGGCCACGTTACATGAGCGCCTCCTCACAGGTTCTGCCATGGGCCTGTTGCGCGTTCGAGGTGTCACTCACCTCGGCATGGATGGTATCGCTGCTACCAACTGGCGTCGGAGCATTGACAGCTGCAGATGGCTGTGGTTTGATGAGTGATATGGCCGGCTCAGGTGGTTCAATTACTGTACTTCACATTCATATCATAGGCATGCAGTAGTAGTGTAGTTACAGTGCAAGAAAGTTAACTGCACCTCTCCCCTCCAATCGATCACAGGTTAGTACCGTACTAATTCACAGAGCATGCATGCGAGCCACCCGAGATCCTGCATCAGCATGTGCCCTTAATAAAGCTTTATGTCCATATCAATGGATATGGATCCTAAGCAAAATAGGAGTATAAAATGAAACAGGTTACTAGGATAATTCTGATCTGTTGTGCGCTACGCTACTAGTAGTTAATATATACCCCCTCCTGTCAGCAAAGCTTCGGTTACGAAATAAGGTACTCTATGTTTCTTGTTTATATAAAACATCAAAACTAAATTCGGAGGTGCCTCCTAATTAGCCTCTCATCCTCTCATCAAATTTAGTCTCATGCCCTTCCGTGCACAAAACATAGTCTTAGGGTTCGTTCGGTTAGCCGAATTCCACGGTTATATAAATTAGTCTAGCATTCCTGGTTATAACTGTTGCATGGCACGGTCCCTTCGAACCGAACAATGTCTTAATCTTTTCTTCCACTTCTTTCTTTTACTGCCGACAGCAAGCATGTCCTGCAAAGTGTCTCAAGCACCACCCTATGGCCAAGAGCTAGAGGACGGACCCACCGGACGATCTCTTCTTTCGGTGGTGTTAAGCTAAGGAGACCGTAGTGCGGGCCTAATATCTATCATACGTAGCCTGAGTTGTCAAGCACATGCAATTGAAGAAGCCTCATGAACCACAGCCATATTGTTGGTTTCTAGCTCCCTATATGCCAATGCAAAGTGACACTGCTAGCCGATCTTTCGGGTCTACAGCAATCGCCACCATCAATAGGATCATATACTTGCAGTTAAGGAAGTTGCATCCACAAGTATCACCGGACAACAATGCTTGCAAGTTGCAAGTTTCTTCTGACTGAGGCACTGAGCAAAGGTCCAAAACACACGTCGGAGCACATGTTTGGTGTCGCCATTGTCATAAATGAAATGCTTCTCACCAAAGCACGGAAACCATTTCATCCTAGGGTTGTAGAAATCCATGACACACAATATCCTTGGAACCTAGTTGTATGCTTCCTTCCAGTCACCCGAATGCATCTCCAATTCCTGTTGCTTTCGCACGCCATGCCTTTTTTCGTACTTCACTCGATGTCCACTAATCCCATATATATTGACTCAATTAGTGAGGACACGAGCATGTCGGTGCCTGCATCAACAATGCCGATAATGCCATAGGCAATGTACCATGTTGTGTACTGAGAATTCTCTAAGTTGACCTCATTAGAGCCATAAATGATTGTGTCACGGTATGGCCTATGATGCTTCACTGATAGACCTGTAAGAAGATATGCAATTTGTCCAATGTATCAAATACCACTCCCTTGATAATTACAACATCCCTGTTGTCATAAGCCGACTTCCTCGCAAAAAAAAAAAAACGATGACACATACGACCCTATTGTTAATTATGATATCCATATAATATGATTATGATATCCATATAATATGGTATGCTCTGAACCTTAACATGCACCGCCCTAAGTTGTCTCATCTCCTTGACTGTATAATTATGTGGCAACTCTATTTCATCATCTCATTCTAACTCATCCCCCACCCTCTTCCTCATTTATATCCTCTTCCTCCTCAAGTGCATTCTCAACAATTTGTTCCACTCCCTCTTTGTCTCCATCATCATCTTCTTCTTCCGAATCAAGAGAAATATCATCATCATCATCATCCATGTTGGTCTCAGCCTCAAATGTCCCTGCATCAAAGTCATTGTACATGTGAACGACGACATTTGTGTAAGCCCTATACCACCGAGGCCACCAGAGGAGACAACACTGATAGAAATTAAGTATGCTCCTCTAACAAGTTGGTCTCTTGAGTTAGGTTCTCCGTCGGCTTTTAACATTATCCCCCCACTAGCTTTTCATTAACTCCAACGTCATGACTAGAGTCGACATGGTTTTTTCTATGCACATTCTCAACCACCACCTAATCTCTGTTGACAAGCTCATAACACATAAGAGCAAGTATAGTAATGAGGTGGAGGAAAGAGAAGAGGAGAGAGAAAAGAGGTAGGTTGTAAGCTTACACCAGCCCATGCACAGACTCTAGAGATAGCTTGCAAAGATCCTTACGGCCAGCAGCTGACTGTATTATGGACGCGGTTAGGGCGCGACCCGTCGTGCGTGACCCTGCGCTAGCCGCACCCTCCCACGCGCGTCACAGCCTACCCCAGCCGCAGTCGGTGTCAAGGAAGCAGGTGTGTGCGTAGGCGCAGGCAGGGGCAGCCGCGGCAGGCAGCAACGACGGAGGCGCCGGTGTGGCGTGGTATCTCTGGCGGGACTATCAGCGAGACAGGAGCGAGGGAGATTCATGGACGGCGAGGCGTACGAAATGACCTGCGACCACCACTCGCCGCGCTGCTGTCGCGCCACCACCCATCAGCTGAGCGCCGCCGGCCATTTGCCATATCCAACCGAGAGAAGAAAATTGAACCTTCTTTTTTTTGGATTTCTAATTATTTGCCATCGATATGGTGACTGTCTCTCCGATTGCCAGCTTTATCATGCCAAATATAAATTTGCTCCAGAAAACAGTAACTCAGCTATAATTTTACCACTTTTGTTGACGTGGCACGCCATTTTCTTTGACTACTATGTGAAACAAACAAATTAAACAATTCGTCTACAAAAAATAATCAAGGATAGTGTATCATAGATTATCTACAAAACATGCAAAAACATGAAGGCAACTAAACTACACTACCTGCAATACATAATCTATATCTAAACATATAAAGGACATGCAACTATTGTATGCGTACACATCACGGGAAAAGCCTAAATACCATTGTAGCAAAGGCTAAGATCTATCCAATCTTTTGTTCTATTGCTTAGAACAACTCCACCAGATTAAGAAAGTGATCTCTTTCCCTATATTCTTGTAAAAAGAGGTTTGAGAGGCAAAAAAATAGCACTGACAGATCCCCTTTTCTATCTTGTTTCTCTAAAAAAATCAGATCCTCTCTCGGACCCTCAAAGAAATGAGAGAGCAATCCATCCCTTTTTCCTTTCTATCCCACGCCGAGCCACACAACACGATACACGATTCTCATCGCAGCCACCACGCTTCGTCTTCCATTCCAGGCTACCCGCTGCCGTGCACCGCTCCTCTAAGCGAGATGTCACCACGCTGTCGCTCCTCTAGGCAGGCCGCCATCGTGCACTGCTCCTCCGTGCCACCTGCCACCATCATTGCTGCGGAGGAAGGACAGGAGAGAAAATACATGCGAATCCTATGTATAAAGGGGGTGGAGATTTCTCAATCTGTTGGAGCACATCTTCCGCATAGCTTGTATTAGTTTTTCAGTCTCCTTTTAACCTGATATAGGAGACTAAGTTTTCTCAATCTAGTGGAGTTGCTCTTAGAAATTCAAAACCATTGCATAATCTTAGGCGAGCGAGTTCAACTATTAAACTACCAAATACGACCGAGAAACACGTATCAGAGGGGTATACCTTGCTCAATCACAGCACCACAAGGGGAGTCCAAAATCGCCGGATTTCAGCCGATGGCAACAGCAGGCAAAGCTTGGCGCAGCATGGTGGAACCCAAAGCGCTTCCATGCTGGCAGGCCGCACTAGGGTGGCACCCTTGCCGTGCCAGTGCATGTGGCACAGCGGCCACACACCCTTGGCTCAAGGGTTAGTTTTTAAAAAGTTACAAGAGTTTAGTATTAAGATATTGATTACAGAAGGTTATAAAAAATCCTAGAATGTCATCCATGATTCAACACACGTCTACTGACTTTGTTATGTTGCTTGCAGATGGCTACCACTGCAAGGATACAGATTTTTCTTGGCATCCAAAATCCGCCGGATTGAATTAACATAGTCAAGCTATGTACCTAAACGCAGCCAGTTCTATGGCAGAGTACCTTAGGGGTCCAGATTCTGTCCTTGTTGCCGCTGAAACTCAAGGTACTCTTGGATGCAAGACCGAAGGGCATGATTAGGGATGATATCTCGATTTGGAAGGGCGAGATTCGTCATCGGAGACCTACTGTTCCCACTATCAAGCCATTGCCTTATGGCTCCTGATTCATAGGTGAATCCATCAGATGCCACTTGAGGATCCTTCATGATCTCCTGAAAAATGCAAATGACCACTTCGTAAATGCACTTCAGTCTATTCAGAACTCTATGCAGGATTCTTAAGAAGAAGAAAAAAACACAGAACAGTCCAGGGGAAAGGGATTTCTTTTTATGGTGTAGAAAATAATTTCTCAGTAACTACCATTTGTCCCAACTGGTCTAATAAAGTGCTGGCAGAGTTAATTACCATGCGAATTGGACAGCAGAAGTGAGCCGGTGCAGAGCTTCCTCCAGAGGCTGATTGGAAGTAAGCCACAAGAGGCCTCGTGGCCATGGGCTCAATGACTTTCCAAACCTGTGTTAACAGATCAGGACGTTTCTCCGGTGTCATTTCCACGCAGCTCAGACCGAGGACTGCTAACTGCTTGGCCTGCGTGTAGGGCCAGTCCCCAGCTGATTTATCTATCATCAGATGCAAGCTGTCACTCTCCAGAGCTGACGCCACTTTCTTTGCTATAGACAGTGGAGACATTCCAGTCAAGAGACGCAGGATAATGACACCCAGTGAGTAGATATCAGATTGTGGCGTGAGCTCCCCCGTGGTGAGAAATTCCGGGTCCATGTATGGCAGCCTCACATTGAGGTTTGGTGGGAACGCTCCAGGCGCAAGAAACAGGTTGGACATACCAAAGTTGCAAAGCTTGCTTCTGTAATTGGCATCAATGAGGATGTTGCAAGGCCGGAGATCGCCATGGACCAAAGCACTGGGTTTATTTGCACGAAGGAATAGCAGCGTGCAGCAAACGTCACCAATGATTTGTGTACGTTTGCACCATGGCAGAGGTGGGGAGTTATTTGAGCTAACAATGCAGTCTTCAAGGTTTCCATTCGGTAACCACTCGTATACTAGAGCAGAGGCTTCTGAGCATATTCCAATAATGGTGACTATGTTTGGATGTCTACATTTTTTAAGAATAGAAACCTGCAATAACCAAGCATTAGAGAAAGGACTCATCTAAAGACAACAAACACACTCAGCAGACCTACCTCCTGTTGAAATAAGCTTTGGGAACATGATAGCTTGATTGCCACCATGGTCTTATGTACTATGCCTTTGTATACGCGCCCATATTCGGTGTCTCCAACCTTGCACACATCACTGAAATTCTCTGTCGCTTGTTCCAAGTCCTCAAGGGAGAACTCGAGAATAATATGCCTGTTCTGATCACGTAACTCATCGACCTGTCGCAGTGCATTATCTCGTTCCTGTTTCAACTCATCACATTCTGCGTTACATAAATGGAAGTTATATGTTGCTGCTGCAAGTTTCTCTTCTAAATGCATATGAACCAAGATATGTTCTTGTGATATTGATCTACCTTTTTTTGCGTCCTTTTCACGACGAACCTGATTTTTTAACATAGCAGCAACCTCCTCTTCTAGAGCCTGTATCCTTATTTGTGGATCCTACATGTAATTATGGGAGTCATATTTATTCAAACCATTACAGCAGACAATGTCAAAGAAAAACACAACCATCTGGGCTCCCTCTGTAGTCTGTACAACCAAAGAAGGAAAGATCTAATGGTAAAGGAAGCATATAAGGGAGAACAAGATCTTGCCACACTAGGCAACAAACTGAAGATCAAGTTTTAGATAGAACAGGCACCTTCTGACCAAGAACATGCTTGAAGAACAATTCAACATTAGGATATTTGTCCTCTGAGTTGGCCGCTTTCTGGTAGCAAATAATGTCCCCATTTTCAATCTGAAAAGAGGGGGGGGGCGGTAAGGACAGAAACTAAGTTTTCAGGAGCAAATAGAAATGAGATGACAAGTACTATGAACAAACCTGACTAGACCTAAAGGTAACATTAATGTCAATCCTCTCACACATCAACGTCGGTTCGAATTTTATTTCCTTCATGTTAAAGTGAGAAATCATTAAATATGATCGAGAATTACAACAAGACCATGTCAATTAGGATTAAGTTTATCTACTTTACAAAGGTATAAAACCAAACCTCATACAATTCAATTTCTTCGTATGCATGAAAACCAGCTAGAGTTCTTAGCTTTGGAAGAATACATGAAGGCCTTGACGAAGCTTTGACAAAGAGTGTGCCGACATATCTATTTTTCACATTCAAAACAATCAAATTGAGTGAAAGTTCTTAAGATTACCAAAGTAGGAAAAAAGAGAGGGGGCAGTCAATAAACCGCACTGACCGTAGCTGTCTTTGACCTGGGTCATACAGCTTTAGGAACACCAATATGTCATCTTTGCTAATCATATTGCGCACACGAAGAGGATGAAGCACCTACAGTGAGCGCATGTTAAGGAAAATTCAGTAAGCAGTAACTCATTGGATGGAGTGGGAAGCATTCTTTTAAAGAATCTTGATGTAACACCCCGGGGACAGAAGGGTCATCCTGCAGGTTCCAAAATTTACCAAAATACAGCCATCCTGCAGGACAGAAGGGCTAACCTAGAGTTACTATGTTTGAACCCTGTAGCATTTTTCTGCTAGTGCTGAACACTTCCTGGCCCATGTGTATAGCAGTGACCTGTAGGTATCTTGCTTCGGGGCTGGGCTTTAGCAAAACTTTTATCCTGGGATGTTACATAATGTATGAGAAAATATTTTTTGAAGTTGAAGTCTAACCTCCAAAAACAGATGCAGCTCACAAGCATTAGATTTTTTCGATGACTTCATTCCTACCTACAAAAGTGAATTTTCATAATCAATCTTTCGTGAACGAAACAGATTATATAAATAGGTAACAACAAAATGAAGCAAACAAAAAGGGCATGCATTGCCATCAAAATAAACCATATAAGGAACATATTAAACAAAGCTGGCATCTGACTACCAAGCTAACAAAACAGAAATTTCCATTCAAGAGTTGTTATGACCCAGTGCCAGGGAAAGAGTGGATGCACATGGGATGCAGCAGCAGGTGGCCACAAGGATTAATAAGACTAATTAGTTAGATTATCTATTGTTGTGATATTGCAATTTGCAACAGAACATAAACCCAAGGCTGTAGCTTCCCTGGTGGTAAGAGGTAAATTTGAATTCCACCTCAGTTGAATTAGAGACAGGCCTGAGGAGACAGGATGAGAGTTAAGCTTGAGTGCTGCTCTATGTATCTAGTTAAACTCTTAGCTATTTACTGTTTTCTGTCAAACTGTTTTCAGCTGCTGCAAGCCTAGTACTCAGAATATGCTCAGCATCCACTTTAATGGTTAGAATATGCTCAGCATCCACTTTAATGGTTAGAATATGCTGTAGCAGGTAAGGTGTTTTTTCCTTGTAAACCAAGTTTGCTTTTCCCTATATAATGGAATAAGCGGCCTATGGCCAAGCTGCCCTCTGGCAGTTCTAAATCAGAGTTCCACTTTGTGTTACCTGGCCAACAATTGGTATCTCGACTCTAGAGCATAGGTTATCTTGAGAGTTGAGAGCCACCATGTCCAAATCCAACCACTCCAGTTTCTCTGGAGGATCTGCCGGCGCCAGAGCCCGCACCGCCGCAGCCACCGGCACGGTTGTGCCAGATGCCGCTGCGGAGGCCACAGCAGCGCGTGCGGCTGAGACGGCCAGGCAGGCGGCAGCCGCAGCCCAGGCTGCAGTGGCTGTTGCCGAGGCTCTGCGCGCAGAGATGGAGCAGCTGCCACCGCGTCGCGAGTCGCCATCACCTAAGCGACGTCGCGAGCGCCGTGGCCGATCACCGGTCTGTCTACAAGGATTCGGGAGTGGGGACGCCGTGGCCGATGCTCTCCAAGACGAACTACCACGAGTGATCTCTGCTGATGAAGGTCAAGATGCAGGCCCGGTAGCTCTGGGATGCCGTCGAGGACGGCGTTGTCGATTTCCACAACGACTGGCGGGCGCTCGAGGCTATCCTCACCGCCATTCCTCCAGAGCTGGGAGCTACCCTTGCCGACAAGGCCTCCGCCAAGCATGCGTGGGACTCCATCGCTGCAACACGTGTCGGCGTTGATTGTGTCCGCCGGGCGACGTTGTAGCGGCTCCGCCAAGACTGGGATCACCCGGCTTTCCACCCTGGTGAGGAAGTCGACGACTTTGCCCTTCGTCTTTCGGATGTAGCAGATGGCCCGCCACGGCAATGACGACCTTACGAAGGCGCGGGCGGTGGAGAAGCTCCTGCACGTTGTCCCGAAGAAGTACTCCCAGATCGCGCTGGCAATGGAGACGCTCCTCGACTTTGAGGATCTCACCATCGAGGAGGTGGCGGGGAGGCTGAAGGCGGTGGACGATCGCGAGGAGGCGCCTCCCACCGAGCCGGTCACCATCGGCGGCAAGCTGCTGTACACCAAAGGAGCAGTGGCTCGCTCGGCAGAAGGAGAAGGGGGAAGGCACCAACACGTCCAAGGAGCGTCACCGGCGTCCGACACGGCGGCAAGAAGGGCAAGCCCAAGGGCGATCGCGCTGGTGACCGTGACGGTGGCGGTTAAGGAGTCAAGGCAGGTGTTGCCGGCGGCGAACGCAAGGCGGCCACGACGACATCTGCCTCAACTACGGTGGAACGGGCCACTGGGCCAAGGAGTGCCGCCAGCCTCGACGCGAGCACGGTGGTGCAGCGCACATGGCGCAAGCAGAGGAGTTGTTCCTAGCTCACATCTTCCTAGAGCTAGAGACAGGGGAGAGCAGAGGAAAGGCACAAGCTTCAACCTTCTGCACCGTGCCCGCAGCCACCAACCTCCACATCGACGAATCGCGAGCCCGAGCCTTCCTCAGTACCGGCACCGACGAGAAGCTCGACGGCTGGTACCTTGATAGCAGCGCCACCCACCACATGACCGACTGCCATGAGCTCTTCTTCGACCTCGACTTCAGCGTCCGTGGCTCGGTCACGTTAGGCGATTCCTCAAGGGTGGAGATACAAGGCGTCGGCTCGATCGTGTTCGCAGGCAAGACTAGCGAGCACCGGTTGCTGCACGGTGTCTACTTCATCCCGGCGCTGCGCAACTCGATCATGAGTCTCGAGCAGCTGGACGAGGGCGGATCAGAGGCGGAGATCGACAAGGGCATCCTTCAGATTTGGAATCGGCGTGGTCGGCTTCTCGTCAAGGTCCGCCGCAGTCCGAACCGCCTCTATGTCCTCCATCTTGAGGTGGCTCGACCACTCTGCCTCGCCGCGCGCGGAGACTATGAAGCGTGGCGCTGGCACGAACGGTTCTGCCATCTCCACTTCGAGGTGCTGCACAAGCTGGGCAAGGGGGCTATGGCACGCGGGATGCCGGTGATCAACCACGTCCAGTAGCTCTGCGACACCTACATCGCCACGAAGCAGAGGAGGCGCCCCTTCCCATGTCAAGCCCTGTACCGCACGCAGAAGCAACTCGAGCTTGTTCACGGCGACCTACGCAGGCCCGTGACGCCAGTGACTCCAGGCGGACGACGCTACTTGTACTGGTGGACGACGCATCCCGCTTCATGTGGGCAGTCCTTTTGCTGACCAAGGGAGCTGCTGAGCACGCCATCAAGCAAGTACAGGCAGCTGCGGAGAAGGAGAGCGGTTGTAAGCTCCGGGTGCTGCGCACCGACAACGGCAGAGAATTCACTGCCGTAGAGTTCGGCACCTACTACGCCGATGAAGGCATTCAGTGCCACTTCTCCGCCCCCTAGTCGCCGCAGCAGAACGTGGTGGTCGAGCGCCGAAATTAGACCGTGGTCGCAATGGCACGGGCACTGTTGAAGCATAGAGGCATGCCGACCATGTATTGGGGGGAGGCAATGATGACGGAAGTTCATCTACTTAATCGCTCACCGACCAAGAGCTTGCAAGGCAAGACCCCCTATTAGGCTTGGCATGGGCGCACGCCGGCGGTCGGACATCTACGGACATTCAGCTGCATCGCCTACGTCAAGGAGCTGAACCAGCTAGGGAAGCTCGATGACCGCAGCAAGCTCGGCGTCTTCATCGGGTACGTAGAGGGGGCGCAGGCGTACCGCATCCTCGACCCGGTGACCTAGCGCGTGCATGTGGCGCGCGACGTCATCTTCGATGAAGGGCGCAACTGGGATTAGACAAAGGTGGACCTCGGAGGCTCAGCATCGGCGGCGACTGACTTCGTCGTCGAGTATGCGTGGCCTGGAGGAGCAAGGGGAGCACAGAGTGCACGTCCCAGCGGAGTCTGTATCGTCCTCTCCGGCGTCGTCTTCATCACCAGCTCTGCCGCGCTCACCGTCACCAAATCTGGGGGAGCCCGGAGGTTCATCGGCACTAGCGGCTACTCCACCAGTGCCATAGCCAGCCACTCCACCTGCGTCCCCGGCTGCTGCTTTCCCTGCTACGCTAGCTGCAACACCAGGACACGGCAGAAACCTCCAATCGAGTTCACCACGCCGCTAAAGGATGACAAGGACCGTTCGGACGCCTACCACGACGACGAACCTCTCCTCTACCGCTACCACATGATCAGCCTCCACCAGCTCCAGCGCAGCGTGACTTCGATGTTTAGCTACACCTGATGTTGCCAGCGAGCCTGCTACCTACGCCGAAGCTGAAGGCGATCTGGTGTGGCGCGTTGCAAAGGAGCAGGAGCTCAAGTCCGTCGAGCAAAGCCGCACTTGGGAAATGGTCAATCTATCCGACAGCCACTGCCCCATCACCCTGAAATGGGTGTTCAAGCTGAAGAAGGATGAGGCTGGGGCAGTGATCAAACACAAGGCACGGCTAGTGGCGCACGGCTTCATCCAGCAAGAGGGGATTGACTACGACGACGCGTTTGCTCCGGTGGCGCGCATGGAGTCGGTCCGTGTCCTCCTCATGTTGCTGGCCAGGAGGGATGGCGCATCCACCACATGGATGTCAAGTCCGCCTTCCTCAACGGCGACCTCAAGGAGGAGGTGTATGTGCGTCAACCACTAGGCTACGCCGTCGCCGGAGAAGAAGGCAAGGTGTACCGCTTGCGCAAGGCACTGTACGGCCTGCGTCAGGCGCCGCGCGCCTGGAACACGAAGCGGGACGCCACGCTCAAGGACATGGGCTTCCAGCAGAGCGCGCACAAGGCGGCGGCGTACCGGCGGGCAGCGGGCGCTCTGTCCAACTCGTCAGCATCTACGTCGATGACCTGATCATCACCGGCGCTAAAGAGGAGGTGGAGGCCTTCAAGGCACAAATGAAGGTGTTCGACATGAGTGACCTGGGCCTCCTCTGCTTCTACCTCATTGTCGAAGTGCGCCAAGATGCCAGCGACATCACCATCCGCCAGACGCACTACACAGGAAACTGGACATGATGATGGGAGATTAGGCTGCCATGGGACCTCCATGGTAGAAAAACCACCATATCAAACTGACTTAGTGGAGAATTTGCACGCGTGACGCGTAGGACCTCACATATCTTGTTTTATGGTTCAGGTTACTAGAGGAACTGTCAAGCACATCAATCTTTTCCAAATATAGTTCCATACATGTGGGCACCCAATCCAACACATGTTCAGATCTCCATGATATTTTCTACCACTATGAAAGAACCTCTTCATTGTCTTGGACATAGTTGCGGGCCTCTTTGTCTACAGTAAAAAATCAGGAACTATTAACAAAAACTAGATGGACATTCACCAGAAATTTTTATAACATGCCAATCTTTTCTATACCAAATTTTGAATCCGCTGTAACAAAAACATTAAACCGGGTTGATCAATATGATATGAACAAAATGTGGGTCCCTTAGCCAAAGT